TGTTTTAAACCAATATAATACCGTTTTTGATGTATGAAAAGTCATGTCTTAGTTTTCTCTTCATTGCATATCCTAATCTTGTTTGAAATTATTTATGAAATACCTTTGTTCATATATCGTTCGAAAATTCCCCCATCTATTATATCGTTCATTATCTGGTTTAGAAAAGAAGATTAATTATGAGAATTTAACACCTTTTTTGTAGCTCTTACCTTCAAGTCCATGTAACTGTTCAGAATTTACATACGTCCAATAAATAGTGGCTTTAAATCATGCCATAAATTTTATAAATGTATTATTTCTATCATGCTTCACACATGATTCAATATTCAACCATATTTTTCCTTTTCTTTTTCTTAACTTTTGGCAACATAATTTAATCCGAGCAGGTGTCTTGGTGTGCTGCTTCGCTTCCTTGAATCAGAGAAATATAACTTGGATCGATTGCGGCGTGGCGTTGAACAATTAGAGCTGAGTCAAGATGTTGCAGATCGCCTAATTCACCAGCTGCCTACACAAGAGGAGGCAAAGCTCTATTTGCATTTTCAGGTTATGGAGTGCCGGTCCGATGAGGAGCTCACCGATGAAGACCGGTTGCTGCTCCACCTCTGCAAAATCGACCGATTGGGACCTAGGCTTGAGCTGATTATATTTATGAATTCATTTGAAGATACCCTCGCCTCTCTTATTCCAGTAATTTATGAATTCATCTATATGTCTCATATACCTCTATAAGCAATTGATATATCATTTCTAGGATGACTTACTAAAGATTCCCCCAGCTTCCTTCACGCATTACTGTCTATTTATTCATTTTATATATATCAATTTAAGATGGGTCTTCCGATGGAATTTTAAATTAATATGTGGATTATTACATTTTTGCGTCTAGTGAATCTTGTCTCATTCTAGTAACACTCTTCCAATTTGATGATTATGCTATTCTGCTGTGTTTCTGAGAGGGACAAAGCGTCTCGGAATCATTCTAATCTCCTTTCCTGCGTGATTTATATGACAAGCTCGTTGGCTTGCTCTTACTGCCCTTTCCTTTACGCTAAATAGGAATAAAGCCCAGTATTGGACAGATTACTTCGGCCGAACGACGGTCAAGCATGTCATGTGGATGTGACACGTATTCCATTCTCGGTATTGAATAAAACTGAATTTTTTCCAAGAATGCATAATCCTTAGTTTGTGTTATTGGGATAAATGTATACATATTTCCTTGAGGCTGGCTTGCAT